CCATGAATGATGAACAATAAAGATACGAATCTCATTGGGGATGCAGATAAACTTCAAAAAAAAATTATAGTTCAATATTTGCGAAGTTATTATGAATTATCTTGAACTGTCTTAACATATTCAATTATTGTGAATTATCTTGCACTGATTTAGACTAATCTTATTGAACTTATCATTCTTAAGTGATACGACTCTATTCTTTGAGATTCATGACAGTTGCAGGTTTTAATGAACAAGTGAGATACTTGAGCCTCGTATGAACCTGCTACAAGTACAAGAACTTGAGGGTAAAACCTTAAAAAGTTAAAAACTCAAGTTGGAGGAAATCTGGTATGCAGACACCTTAGCCCTCATACCAGTACTTTAGGGTAAAGCCTAAATGGGTTAAAACATTAAGTTTTGAAGATACTTGAGGGTAAAGCCTAAAAAGGTTAAAAACTCAAGCAGAACCTCATTTGAACCTGCTAACAGTGCCTAAAGCTCTTAAGCTTAGGTTTGAAGAAACTTGAGGGTAAAACCTGAAAAAGGATAAAAACTCAAGTTGATACTTGAGGGTAAAGCCTAAAAAGGTTAAAAGCTCAAGTTGGTAGTTGAGGGTAAAGCCTAAAAGGTTAAAGACTCAAGTTGATACTTGAGGGTAAAGCCTAAAAATGTTAAAAAAATCAAGTTAGAGGAAATTTGGTATGCAGGCACCTCAACTCTCATATCAGTACTTAAGACTTTGTTTGAGAGTTAGTTTTAGGAGGGAAAAGAAAGGAAGGGGGGTTTTATTAATCTCTTCCCTTGTTTGTGAGTTTAAAAAAATGGGGAAAGAAAATTGGAAATTTTTACAAAATCCTCCAAAACCCTTCTCACCATTAAAATTAAAGATCCCCGAATTTGGGGGTTAGAGGGGGAAAAAATTTAAAATTATTTATCTACGCTTAGCATTAAAATGTGAAAACTACATAAATGTGAATCATTTTTAAATTTTACACTATTAAAAAATTATCAAATACGACAGAATATATCGACGGAAAAACTTTCGTCGAAAATAATAACGAAATTTTTGACAAAAATCATATCACGTAGAAAATAGAGACAAAATTTTATTTCGACGAAACTAGAGACGAAATTAGAGACAGAACAAGTTTTTGTCATAATCACTAACATAAATTTTTTAGGGAAAAAAATTCAGTCAAAACTCTTGATAGAATCTAAATTTCGCAGAAACTCTCGATAAAAACAATTCCTTCAATTTTTCAACGAAAAATATTTCTGTCGAAAATTTTGATGAAACACATTTCCATAAAAAAATTTGATAGAAAATAATTTCCACAAATTTTCTTACGGAAAATATTTTTGTCAAAATTTTTGACGAAAAATATTTCCATCAAAATTTTCAACGGAACACATTTACAACGAAAATTTTGACCAAAAATATTTGCGTAAAATTTTTTGACGAAAAATATTTTTGTAGAAAATTTAGAAAGAAATTGTTTTTGTCAAGATTCTTTACGGAATCTAAATTCCCTCGTATCATTTCCCTTAAAATTTTTGATAAAAGAATATATCTATCGAAATTTTTGATGAAAAATATTTCCATTAAAATTTTAAAAAGAACACATTTCACTCAAAAAAATTTGACAAAAAATATTTCCATAAAAAATTATTTTAGTAAAGAATTTTGAGGGAAAAAAATCTCGTCTAAATTCCATCGAAACTTTCGACAGAACACATTTCCATCGAAAATTTTTGACGATAAATATTTTCGTAAAAATCTTTGGCGAAAATCATTTATGTAAAACATTTTTACAAAAAAAATATTTCGTCAAAAGTCTTTACGGAATCTAAATTTTGCCCAAAGTTTTGACAAAAATATTTCTCTCAAAATTTTTGACAAAAACAATTGTCATCGCAACTTTCGTCGGAACACATTTCTATCAAAAATCAAAAAAAATTGACGGAATTCTTTTTTGCGTTAAAAATATTTAAGAAATTATTTTCATCAAAACTTTTGATGGAAACTAAAATCTACTGAAAATTTATACAAAAAATTTATTTCTGTAAAAAAATTCGACTGATAAAAAATTTCGTCCTATTTCAACAAAAAGTATTCCGACAAAAAAATACTTTTTCGATGGAATTTTCGTCGTTTGGAACATAGAAATTTCGTCAAAATTATGATCTTTTTTAGTAGTGTGAAAAGTACATAAATAATTTTGTTAGAAATTTTAAATTTAATTTAATTTGTAAAATATAAAATTATATTACTTTTTGAAAAAAGTTGAAAATGGTAAAAAAAAATCTCATTAACTCTCTATTTTTCTCACTTACCATGTTTTTAACTCCCAAATAAGGGAAATGAATACTTTCCAATTTTCTTCACTTCATTTCCTTCCCTCCTCCTTGGATCCCCTTCCTCTCTCTCCCCTCCAAACTTCCAAACAAAGTCTAAGGGTAAAGCCTTAATGGGTTAAAACCTTAAGTTTTGAAGAAAAGGAAGCAACATCAAATATGCGACATCAGAGTCAGCATGACAGTTGACTTATAGGCATCTCGCCCAAAGTGACATCAAGATAAATGAAAGGTACACAATGAATATAATATATGAATTATGTGATTACCATACATAAATGCTATGATGCAAACTTGAAATAAGTATTGAAGTAATTTGTATAAACTGAAAGTGAAAGATTGTACTGAAGCAATAGAGCTCAGGTATTCAAGAATGATGAAAAGTGAGACATGAATTGCTCTCGCATGAATCTCACTTGAAATAAATATTGGCTATGCTCTTAAGGCTTGAACCTTAGGCATGAAATCAAAGACAGGCCCAAACCCTCACACCAGTGCCTATGGCATGAACCTTAGGTCAATAATGTAGCATGAACTATGCAACATCAAATTCAGGCAAGCAACATCACATTCAAAATCTTTAAAAACATCCTGCAAAGCGGCACCAAAACAAAAAGCATGCGAAATATCAAGGTACACAAATATATGAATTATGAAATGTATATAGTGCAGGGTACAAATATTGTTTTGAAACTCTAAAGCACCAACATAGTGCAAAATGAAAGCACGATGAAATGAATCTGTCGGGTTGACACACAGAAAAATCATTTGCGGACCTATATATAACACCTCACATTTTTAAGTTTAAATATTAAGATGTTAATCAAAGAAAAAAATAAAAATAAAAGAAGTGAGGTGCTTGTCGTGCTTAATCCTTGTCGTGATTAATCCTTGTCGTGCTTAGACAAATCCTTGTCGTGCTTAGGAATCATTGTCATGCTTAAACATATGACCACCTATAGCTTTTCTTTTTTCTTGCGTACAACCAAGAAAATAATTTTGATTGCTTAGTGATACATCAAAGTCGGTTCTTTGTCTTTCCAAGCAGGTGACCAAAAGAAGAATAAAAAAAAGAAGTGCAGCCTTGTGTCGCGTGGAAACAAAAAGAAAGAATAAAAAGAGTGAGGTCCTTGTCATGCTTAATCAAAGTCGGAAAAGGAAACAATAAGGAAAAGGATTCTGAATTCTTAAGTCATCCAACTCGGTTCTCCCTTGTCCAATACAAACAAGTCGGTCCTCTTTTCTTTTTTTATCCCAACACATGACCGTCCCTTGTGTTCCCTTCTTTCCTTGCATACGGAAAAGGGAAAAAAAAATCTGGTGAGAACAAGTTAATGAAGCAACTTGAATAAGCCTTAGTGTTAGTCGGTTGTCTCTTTGTTTTGTGACATCAAGCAGCTTCAATTCTTTCCTTCTTGACCATAGAAACCAAGGGAGCTAAGAGGAGCTTGTGAGTATTTTCTTGTTCCTAAAATGCTTAGTTACTTTGTGGAAAAGAATCCTTGTGTTCTTGTGGTCATAGCCTTGGATTTTCTTCTTTTGATAAGTGGTAAAAGATGAGTTTCCAAGCATGTATTGTGCGCACCATAGGGCTGACTTTGGATGAAGTTTCATTTAAATATGTTATGGATTGATGGTTGATGAATCCCTTGGATTGAAGTGTATAAACATGAGAATATTTTGGAAAGAAAATCATGGACTTGAACTAGGCCAGTTCGGCCAAAAGGAAAAATTGGTGAAACAATATGTTAATAAAATTCTTGGTGGAAGTGGATGTTGGTTTCTATAAGTTAAGATGATGTTTTGACGTTTTTTCGTATTCTGACAGAATTGCCGTGTATTGACAATTCGTACATGGTTGTTGTAGGTTGTCGTACATTGATTTGAACCCCGAACCGTGAGCTCGGTGGATTTCCCTTGGTCCTGGATTAAGTGGGATTGAGGTGAGTAATTGGAACCATGCTTGTAGAATTAGTAGCTTGCATGTGTTCATATGAAAAATAATTAATTGAGAATGTCCTCTATGTAGGAATTTCTATTGTATAACGAGCTCGAGAAATATATTACGTTGGAGCTACGTGGAGAGGATTATTCAGGTAACCTCTTGGTACTGGGGCTTGTTCCCCTTGTGTGTTCCACCATGCCGTTGAGGGTGATGATAGGAAAATGTATATGAGTAATGTAGAATAACATGATCATGCATTTAATATGTATGTTGGTACGTAGGTATCGAGTCTCTGTACAGTAGACAGTTTTGCCTTCGGGTGTTTCGGACTTCCACTGGATAGGTCTCCGAGAGGGAGTTCCAGTTGACCTAGGGTCGTGGTGTGTGATCCGGATAGGAGCTCACTAGGAAGTCTCGGGTGTATGCGGATGAGAGGGGTACCTTGGTTGATGTTCTAGGAACACGCCTTGGATGAGACCCATAGGCTTATATGCCGAGGACGTTGCGTGGTGTTGGTAGCTACCATTCCAGTTTCGTCGTATTTTGTATCCTATGATCCCCGTTTTCTCTAAATCCCTTGTTGTATCCTGTTTTAAAGAAGTTATTTTATATTATTTATATGCATCGAAGTGAGCCATTGGGCGAAGTATTCTCCAGAACCTTTGGGTTACTGAGATATATTCGTATATCTCACCCCGTCTTGGGGACTTTATTTCAGGAGGTAGCAGTGGTGCAGGAGCAGCGGGCAAGAAGCCCGCATGATGATTAGCTGTAGTATTTGCTGTATTTTGCATTTTGGTGGCCACTGGGCCTAGGCTAGACTTAGGGCATGAACATTCTATATGCATGTAGGATGAGATTCATTTTTATATTTGTTCATGTCATTTTGCCTAAGTCTAGTACATATATCATTTTGAGGTTTTTTCATTATGTTGTATTTGAAGACTTTGAGTTGTAAAGTGTAATATGCATGTGGAGACAGTAAACTGTACCTGAATACTTGATGTAATATGTAAGCATGTAATATGATGGAAGGGCAATAGGCCTATTTTAGGAATATGATTATGCGTATGTTTAGAAGATGCATGCAATTGGACTTTGATGATTGAAACGTATTAAGTATTAATCGAGGAAGAAATGTGATATGTATTATATATGTAAAATAAACTGTGATGGGTTGTAAGTGCCCCAAGGCATTTTTGGTCCTTGTGTGTGCCACCCACTGATTATTAGGTACCATTTGAGGTCATAGATCACTTGTATAAATTTGGGAAACGATGGAAAAACAAAGGAAACTCTAGCGAAATTTCTAGAAATTGACAGTTTTTAGGTGAACTTTGGGAGAGCATATCTCCTTCCATAGAGGTCCGATAGGGACGTTCCATACACCATTTTAAAGCTTGAGATGTCCCCCACATTGTGCTAAAATCTGAGAATTTCCTAGGTTGTACGAAACCCTGTGGAAGATGTGAACTCGAACTGTCCAGAACGCACCTGTGCAGGGGCTGTTTCTGGCAGTTTTTGGGAATTTTATTCCCACTTCTTTTCTTAGTCAAATTAAGTGTATGATATATCAAATTGAAGCTTGAGGTGTCTAGTTTATGTCATAAAAATTTAAGAGTATTTGAGTGAGTGGTTTCTCTGCAGTAATTCATTTAGTGAGGGATGTTTGGAGCTGTTTTGGGGTTGGCTGGCAGCTTTGCTCGTCCAACTTCAAACGGCGATATCCGGAGAAAACGAGATCAAAATACCTCGTGTGATGGTTCATTAGAAAGGTAATTAAGTCCCGTAAAAGATACTAAATGATGAGACGAACTCGAAGAAAACTGTGACGATATAAATAAATATACCGAACCATGTTCGGATAGGCAGAAAACGTAAAATTGAGAAATTAACTAAGTGGGTTTATGGGAACCCCTTAGTGGCTTTTAACAAGTAAAATAAGTTAGAAGAGTAGTTTAAATAAGTATTCCGTAAAGATTTTACAGCTACAATCACAACTTTTATTTATTACGCTTTTTACGGTTTTAAATGCTCGCGTAATAAACGGAAAAAGTTTACTCGTATTTTTATAAATGAATTGTTGTGATTGTAACTGCGCTTAATATCATAATTAATGTTAACAATACCGATGTACAACGGGCTGTTACACTATACATCTCGCTGCTCATGATCTCAGCATAAGCAACGAGCTGAGGGGCTTCTGATCTGGAATAATAATATAATAAATACAAGGCCTACATTCAAAGCCTTAACCATGAAGTGAAGACCCCAAGTCAACAAAGGCTGCTACAACAAACTTCACCGCCAAGATACTTCATCACCAAGAAACTATAGCAGAGCCTTATCACAATCCAACCACAAGGACCAGTGAAGACAACTCACCGCCTTACCATTTGCAAATAAAAAAGTTGCTCATCTCTCCACATCCCTCCATGAAGCTGGTGATCTCTCTACTATAAATATGAATGTGTTAACCCAAAGGTACACATATTCTTCCATTGAAGACCCAAGGGTTAAAGCTACTCCAACATCTTGAGCCAAATCATTTAGGGACATTTGTGTAGAGGAAGATCACATGGTCAGCCCATATGTAAATGGTTCTTATAAGGTGTATTGGATTTGTGTGAAATCCCTCCAATTTTTTTTTGGTTAAGCTAAATCCGTCCAAATTTTTAACACTAACCATTTTAGTTGGATTTTAAGTGGAATTTGAATTATTTTGGAGCTTTCCTCACCGATTTGTTTGTGCTTCATTGCTATAGGTTAGATTCTCTAAGACGAGTAAATTTTTAGTGCAAATGATTTGCCATTCATTTTGTGATGTGTGGACAAAAAATATCACATCATCTGGAAAAAAGGAAAAATTAAATGACAGTTGACCAGATGATATGATATTTTTCGTCCATATGTTACAAAACAAATGGCAATTTTACTGAATCTTTAGTGCATTAATTGCACTAAATATCTATTCCTTTAAGACATATAGATGCTCCTAAAACCATAATTTAGAAGAGATAATTTTGATTGTTCCTCGGGTTTCTTCCTCCATATTTGTGGACCACGTGGAGTGTCACATGGTTACTTGTTTAAGTGTGTGTATTGTTTTTTATTTTTTATTTATTATATTTTTTAAAGTCATTTATTATATATCTTTAAATAAGTTCAATTCAATCGGTTTAATTATACCCATTAGTTGAACTAGTGACTTATTAACTTAGTTTCCTGGCTAAATAAATAATTGATCCTGATTTAATAACATTGGTTTTGACATTTCAGAACCAATGAACGTCGTCATAAGTTCAATTACATGTTTCTATGGGATTAGAAATTGATATGAATCTAAAGGAATTGACTAAATGCACGTTGCATATAAAAAATAGTCTAAAAATGTTGGTTTTATATATTGGAAATTGGAGGAAGACTGTGTTGACATGTTTTAGATCCACAAACTCTCATCGTAATTTAAATACATATGTACATGGGAAAAAAAATTTATTTATTGCAATTTAATTAAATAATTACACATTTATTACAGTTTTGGAAATAATTACGGATCTATTGCACAATGTGACGCCTTTTTTGGGCGTCACATGTGACGCCTCATTTAGGCGTCTCTCACCAAGGGAAGACGCCCCATTGGGGCGTCTCTCATGAGGTGTTGACACGTGTCATTTCTCTCTCTAAAAAAAATAATAATTTAATCATAAAACTTCTGAAGGCTATAAATTTTGACTCGAGTATCCAATTCAGGTAATTTTTTTTTGATTCCACATAACTTTTCGAGATCTACGCAATGACATCTCATTTGATATATTTTATTTATCACAAAAATAATTTAAATTTGCAAGAAAGGTATTATAAAAGCGTTTAAATCCACAAGCCTCTCAGTACTAGATTTGTGATTTAATATTAAAAAAATAATCCAATTCAGGTAATTCTTTTTTTGATTCCACATAACTTTTCGAGATCTACGCAATGACATCTCATTTGATATATTTTATTTCTCACAAACATAATTTAAATTTGCAAGAATGGTATTATAAGAGCGTTTAAATCCACAAGCCTCTGAGTACTAGATTTGTGATTTAATATAAAAAAATAAAGATTTAGTTTGTGATTTAAATTTAAAAAAATCACATTTTTTAATTTTTAATATAAAAAATAAATAAAGTTTTGGTTTGTGATTTAAATTTAAAAAAATCTAAAAAATTATCATTAATAAGGAAAACAAAATAAAGATTTGATTTGTGACTTAAACTCAAAAATTACAAATCTAGTACTCATGAGCTATTATAAATCTCTAAGTAAGAAGGATTTTATTTTATTTTATTTTTATTTTTTTGAAAAATTTGTATAATAAAAAATAATTAAATAAATATTATAAATCTCTAAGTAAGAAGGATTTTATTTTTGAAAACCATTCAGAAGCTATAATTTAAATGGCTTTAAAGAAAAAAGTCATAAAACAGAAGGATGTAACTTATGATACCGCATGATTCAAGATACGAAAAATCAACCAAACGATACACAATACGAATTTCTATTCAATAACATTGTACACTATTTTTTTTCAAACACTTGGTTTTGGTGTGTTTGGTGTTGATTCGGAAAGAACTAAGAGACTTTTAGGTTTAAACGCTCGTATAGTACCATTCTTGCAAATTTAAATTATGTTTGTGAGAAATAAAATATATCAAATGAGATGTCATTACGTAGATCTCGAAAAGTTATGTGGAATCAAAAAAAGAATTACCTGAATTGGATACCCGAGTCAAAAGTTATGGCCTTTAGAAGTTTTATGATTAAATTATTATTTTTTTTGGAGAGAGAAATGACACGTGTCAACACCTCATGAGAGACGCCCCATTGGGGCGTCTTCCCTTGGTGAGAGACGCCTAAATGAGGCGTCACATGTGACGCCCAAAAAAGGCGTCACATTGTGCAATAGATTTTTAAATACTTCCCAAACTGCAATAAATGCGTAATTATTTAATTAAATTACAATAAATAAATTTTTTTGCCTATGTACATGAGAAAAATAGAGTAAATACCCTTTTTAGTCCTCAGCAAATTTCATGATGCCCGCTTTAGTCCCTAGCAAATAAAAAGGCTATTTGTTGTCCCTAAAAAATTCAAAATGGACCCATTTAGTTGAAATCGTGGTCCCTCACAAATTCAAAAAGGACCCACATTAGTCCCTCACATCGTAAAAATTGCTGAGGACCGAAAAGGGTATTTACTCAGAAAATATTTCCAGTGCAACGAAAATACACAAAGCATTAAATACATTATTTATCAAATATGTCAAAGAGTAACATTTATATACTATTTCTATATTTAAGATTATTTTCATGGATATTCTTTTTCTTTTTGGTAAACAAGTAACTTAAAAATGTGCTCGTACATGAGATATTAATTAGGCTATTTGGAAATTTTTTAAAATGATATTGTTGGGATGCCGATCCCTAAAATAAATTCGAAAGAGAGTAAGCAAGTTGACATGCCGATCTCAGAGCTCGGCACTATCAGGTCGGCCTATAGTCACCAGAGCAGTCAATGCACAACAGAAAGCGAAAAATGCAAAAAGAGAGAGATAAAGAGAACACAATCAAATTTTAATATGGAAATCCGTCTTCAATGTGAAGAAGTAAAAATCACGGGATACTAGTCCATAAAATCTTTCACTATGTATTGTATTTTTGGTGACAAGGCATTTATGCGTTATATTTATATGTATATATGCGTGTATGTCGTTATTGCAATACATCAGGTTTAATAAGGAAAAAAGTTAAGTCACATAATATATTTAATGGCTGTTGGTAATATCAAATAGTTAGCTTCCGCATTTAGTTAGTTGCTCTTAATACCATTGTATGTTTAATACACTGGGTGCACATGGGGTGTTACACATGCCAGCATTAATGGAGGAACACCACCCAACAAATCTCCTCCTTCCGACTTTAATGCTTTAGGTTCAGTAGCATCTCGGCACCCTCACAATATTCTTTGAATTTCCTTACTAGTGTTGGCTTTGTCATTATGTCGGACCAATTGAGGTCGGCACGCACATTGGTGAATTCGAGCTGTCCGTCCTCCACCACATCCCGGATCCAAATCTAACGTCAATGTGCTTATTGCAGGAATGTTAGGTCGAGTTCTTTGCTAGATGAATAGCGCTTTGATTATCACACTTTGACTCGTACTTGTCTTAATCATGGCCGAGTTTAAAGAGAAACTTCTTCATCCACAACAATTCTTTGCAAGCCTTAGTCGCGGCTAGGTACTCTGCCTCGATCGTCGAAAGTGCCACATATTTATGTAGCTTTGATTGCCAGGAGACAACTCCTCCTACAAAGGTCATCAGATATCCTATGGTCGATTTTCTCGAGTCAGCATCTCCCCCTAAATCAGCATCTGTAAATCCTTGTAGCTCTGTTTTACCATCTCTTAAGCGGAGGGATAAACTTGTCGTTCCTTGGAGATACTTGAAGATCCACTTTAATGCTTCCCAATGTTCTTTGTTAGGATTCGACAGATACCGATTTACCATTCCAATAGCATATGCCAAGTCGAGTCTCGTACATACCATTGCATACATCAAACTTCCGATGACTGACTAGTACGGGATCTTTAACATCTAGTCTTTCTCTTCATAAGATATTGGACATTGCTTCTAACTCAGTTTAATGTGTCCGGCTAAGAGGGTGCTCACTGTTTTGGCTTTGTCCATGCTAAATCTTTTCAAGATCTTTTCAATATATTTTTCTTGACTCAGCCACAGTAGCTTCCTATGTTGGTCTCTGATTATCTTTATTCCTAGAATCTAGTTTACAAGGTTGAGTCCTTCATTACGAAGGATGAGCTCAACGCCTTCTTCAAGGCGGCTATCCTCGATTTGTCTTACCTTACAATAAGCATGTCATTAATGTATAAAAGTAAAATTAGAAAGTCACTCGCCTCATACCTCTTCACAAATACGCAGTGGTCGGCCTCTGTCTTCATGAACTTATGCTTGATCATGAAGGATTCAAACTTCTTGTACCACTGCCGAGGTGCTTGTTTTAAGCCATACAGACTCTTCTTCAAACTTCAAATGACAAACCAATTCTTCTCTTCCAAGATCTCGGAACCCTTCAGGTTGCTCCATAAAAATCTCTTCTTCAAGGTCGTCATGAAGGAATGTTGTCTTCACATCCATCTGTTCCACTTTGAGGTCCATCGATGCCACTATGGCTAATACTCTCTCCAATTGTTTTGAAAAATGTTATCTAATCTTGAGAGAAAAGTTTAGAAAGCTCCAAGCTTCAATCTTTGAAAAGATTTACATGAGTAATTAAGGAAAGATACTTCAAATGTTCTTTATTTACACTCAAGGACTATTTGATTTTGATGCAAAAGATTTTCATCTTTCTCACATGCTTACTTGGTTAGGCAAAACATATTTTATTTGATCCATCTTATGTTTTAATGGTGGCTAGTTCAACCTTTTCGTTTTGAAATTCTTATGACTTGCCATCATCAATTATTTAATATCCTGTATATCCAATATTGATTGAATATTATTATATGCATAACAATGAATATATTTCTCTTAATACATGCATGTGTAATCATATGACTTATATTTTACGGTATGCATGATTTGAGGGGGAGCCTAGCATTTATTTGTTATATCTATTACTTGGCTTATAAAATAATTATGACAATGAAGGAGTCAATAACTTTTGATCTTAAAGAGACTAACTCTATTG